GGGGGTGGGGGTCCAGGGGTGAAACCCCTACCCCGGCTTGGGCCCCAGGGATCCCCGCGTGACAACGCTGTGTGTATCCCCCTGCCTGCCCTTTCAAACCCATGTATACTCCCTCTACAAGGTACTCTGCCCGTGGAACATTGAAATATAATGCCCGGGCGTCCTATGCGAATATAATGCCCGGGCATTATATTCAAAGGGGCGTTCTATTTGAGAAAAAAGAGTAAAAACGAAAATCTGATCCCTTTAGGTTAAGTTGAATATAACGCCCGGGCGTTATTTTCGGGTGAAGACAGTAGTCACCACTTGCACAAAAGACAAAACATTGACGGCATATGGTTCCAGTTTCTAGCAGAAGATTCATTCTAGTTTTGCACATTTGGTGAGCGGTGGAGTGAAGCCCTGAAAATCACATACCGAGTTAGTAAGGTAGTAACCCATAACTGCTGAAACACGGACCTGAATTTGAAGCTACACCATATATATTTGGCCTGCTACTGCCCTACTATAAGTCCAAACACTACCCTTTTCTTGCCGAGGAAACCCTTGCTAACTTTTGGCAGGGGCCTTTCGGAGTCCCGACAGGGGTTTTCTGAATAATGTGAAAGGGCTCTTTGCTCTCTCTCTCTCTCTCTCTCTCTCTCTCTCTCTCTCTCGCGCGCGCGCGCGCGCGCGCGCGTACGCGCGCGTGTATACACACATCATGGCCACCTTTTTTTTTTTGGGTACACACATCACGGCCACCATTTTTCTTTCCGGGCATCAGCGATCAGCACACTGCACCGCGCGGTGCACCTCACGTATGCACCGCAAGTATGGTCCTGGGACTCCTGGCCGATGGCCTTTTTTTTTTTTTTTTGGCCCTATTTTGGCTCCATCCGGACCTACTGGACCCGACATCTGGACCAACATCCCGATCCAGATGGGCCGGATGGCAGTTCGGACATCCGGATCATGGCCATGGTAAGAGTGTTCAAACTTTGAAAGTTTTTTTTTGTTTTTTGTTTTTTTCCCCCTCAAGGTGCATATTATTCTTGGAGTGATTGATCAAATTTCGGTCATCATTAGTTTGCGATTTGGCGGACATGTATCGAGATATCAACCCTGATGTTTCTTTGATTCGTTTGCAATCCGGATTGTGTGGATTTTCAATTGACAGTTGACGGCGGCAGCATTTCTTATTGTTTCAAAGGCGAATAAGGTAAAACAAAGTTTCCGCTTTGATCTTTGTTTGAACTTCGAAAATTTTTAACTTTTAACTTGGTAGTTTGTCCAAGTTCTTGTTACTTTTTGCCAGCCATCAATTTTCTGTCACGTGTTACTCTGTACACCATTTGGGAACTCAAGAGAAGTGGAGGTTTTTTCGGATGGCTGTTTTTCGGTTTTTTTCCCCACAGCTAAGACAAAGAGGACAAGAAAAAAACAAAAAGCAAAGATATGACTGGTGGTATGGCTTTGCAATCTTGGTTGGGTGGGTCGGGCCCGGGTGGGGGGAAGGGGAGGTGTGTGGTTTCAGTTCTGGTTCCTCTTTCGGTGATACAAGCAAGGAGCCCAGTAAAAAAATTGCAATCTGCACCTCGTGATTATGTCAGTGGAATCTTCGTAACACTCAAAATGATCTTGCACATCCCCACTCATTTTTCTCTTCTAAAAAATTGACAACTTGTCGATTCTTGCTTTCCCCAAACGATTCCCCTAGCGCCCCTCCCCCAGCCTCCCCCCAAACTTTTGTGACAAATCGCCTGAATACGATGACTAGCTGTTTTTCACATGCTTCTGTTGGAATCTTAGCAAACAATAGAGATCGCACTCTTATTGAAGATTGCTGATTGGTTTCCACGCCGTCGTGTCGAATTGTCCCATGAGCTGTTTTGTTTGCGCTTCTTGCAGGTCGTTATTTCACTTGGCTCTAAATTGGATGACACTGCTTTGATGATGTCTGTATTGTGTGAACAGGTGGACGTCACTATGGGCGAAATATGTGTGGCCTTGCATGTCCGCATGAGCACCATGAAGCTCAGGTTCCGAGAACTTAGGGTATGGATGGGCTGGGTCCATCCCCCTTTCAAGTGTTACGCCTATTCCAAGGATGCTGGCTGGTTTGCATTCTGGTTCTGCAAATGTTGTGTGTCTCATTGTTGTGGAGGGGCAATCTTTCTCTGTATCGTCCCAATTTTAAAAATTCTTAATGGAATGTCCTGTGCAAAGTTGCAAACACGGTTTTTCTTTTCCACCGATGTTGAACCTCTTTTCTAACATTGTGTGTTCATGCTGTCTCTAATCTTTATCCTTCGGATCACTGGCTCTTTGCCCTTTCTCTTGTTGAAGGTCACAGGTTCAAATCCTGTAGGATGCTGAAATCTTCGAGGGAGTGGCCGAGTGGTTCATTGCCCTTGTTTGCCGCTACTGTTTCTTCACCCTCTCCCTTTGATCGCCATTCTCTGTTTCCCCCCTTTCCTTCGGTCGTCCCAAAGTCTCCGAGGAGTGCAGGGGGGGTCCTCGGGGTGCCTGTTTCACAGCATATTGCGACATTTTTGCATTGCTGTTTGGGGGCAGGGGTGTTCGGGGACTCTGTTGGCGGATGATCGTCGACATTGGTACAGGCTCATACAGCATTATACAGGGTTCACTCCACAGCAGCACGGAATCAAAACGGAAAAAAAAGACGAAAAGAAAAAGAAGAAGACACGAGTCCATGCAATCGATGCTGCAATTGCAGAAAAGCAACACTTGTTAGACTTGATTATAGTCTGACTGTCCCCGACGTCCGTGATGTCAGCGAAAACGGAGTCCACCCTTGACATGGAGGAAACAGACTAGGAGGAGGAAGAAGTAGACGATGAAGAAGAGGAAGAGGAGGAAGCAGTAGAAGAAGAAGAAGAAGAAGAAGGTGTCTCTCCCTCTCTCACCTGCTCTGTCTCTCAACCTCTCTCCCTCTCATCCTCTCTCTCTCTCTCTCTCTCTCTCTCTCTCTCTCTCTCTCTCTCTCTCTCTCTCTCTCTCTCTCTCTCTCTCTCTCTCTCTCTCTCTCTCTCTCTCTCTCTGCTGCTAATGGTACCAGTCAATGACGACGCATCAGTCGATGACCTTGCCGACGCTTCCTTTTCCTCTTCAGAAGATGAAGCGTTGCTGCTACTAGACTCATCGTCCTCTTGCACCTGCTTCCTCTTCCTTTTCGGATGTTGTTTCGGCGATTGCGAAACTGCGGTGACTTTCTTGGGAACTTTTTGTGCCTTCCTCTTCTTCACCTGCCAAACAATAGCATGCTTCTCTTTCAAGGTCGCCGGCGGTGTGACTGTCTTGCGTCCCTTGCCTCTTCCACCTCTTGTCGTCGGTGCCGCTGTCTCCTTCCTTTCTTTCTGCCCGCCAAACTCCTCACTCGGCGCACCTTGCTGGCGGCGATTTCGGGCGGCGACACTGATGCACGCCGTGCAGCTACATGTTGTGGTGGGTCAGGTCCTCCAACCTCAGCAGCTCGGGTCCTCCTCCTGTAGACGATGCCTTGCGATCCTTCCCTGGCCTTTGTTGGAATGTCCTCGCTCAACCGTAGAGCGGGTGGGGTTGGTCTAGTGAATCTGGCCCAATCGGGAGTCGGCTCCTCGAAATCAGTCCGCATGGGGGACATCGCAGACAGGTGTTCACGGAAGTCCTTGTTGGAGCCGCTCGCCGCAATGGGGGCCACGTGGTTCAATAGGGAGTCGAATCTCTTCCCCAGCCGCAACCCCGGGTAAGGAGTGGAGAATACATCGCTGCCGACAGCCTCGACGTCCTTCGCTGTTCCAAGAATCGGGTCGTCCATGTCCGCACCGATGTCTCCGTTCGCATGTTCCGCAGTGCCAAGAACCGGAACATCTACACACACACCAAAGTCTGCATCAACCTCCACCGCAGCATTGTCCCCGTGAACGTCTGCCAATCCCCCGTCTGTCGTCATGCAGCCCGTGGGTATCTCCTTGAGCATAGCTCACTGATGAGGGGTGAGTTGTGCGGCCAATAGTGTGCTGGTGCCCTGCACTGAAGCCACACCACTTGACGTGGAGCTCCATCATCGTGTACGAACACCAGCGTCACCAGGCAATGATACCGAAGCAGCCGCCGGATGCAAGGACTGGCGGCGGCGTGATGTTGTCGTGTCGAGTGGAACACGAGCGGCTGCCCGAGCGCTTGGTGGACCACATGTTTGTGAACCGCATTGTGAGTAACTCGCCGTCACCCTCGCTGCCGTGGCTCTCCTCCTCCTCATCATCAACAACAATGGTCTTCCCGCGGTCGTTGTCCGCGAGACGCCGAGGGCGGTAGGAAAGATCGAGGAGCCATGCCCCGCCGTCCACCCTCTCCTCCTGAAGCTCCCGGACGTCGAATCTGGTACCCTTCGATTTGCGGCCGCGAGATTTGGACCAATTTGCCGCCCTCCTCTTCACCTCTGCAGGGTCAAACTCCCTGTCTCGCATGAAACCATCGAAAGGCGCCTCATCCTCAGGTGTCTCCTTCTCGAGCTGCTTGGTGTTTACGAATCCCATCTTCGCCTTTGATATGCGCAGAAAATTCTTGTTCCAATGGATGAAGACGAGCATCTGCAGGTTGTTTGGGCTCAACGGATCTCTCCTCCTCGTGTGAATGAGGTTGAACGTGGACCAATTCCTCTCGCATGGAGAGGCTGTAGTCCACATGCTGAGCACTTTGACTGCGATCTTTGTCAGGGTTGGGTGCTTCTTCCCATAACTCAACCACCAGTGCGCCATGGACACATGGTCGCCTGCCAAAGCCTCCTCAGAGTTCTTGCCATTCCACTCTGGATCCATGTAATGGAAACTCTTAAGGGAGTTCCAGCAGTCTTTGTACTCCTTTGAATTCTTCGGGTGAACCGAAGCAAAGTGAGTCAAGGTGTTTGTGATGTCCTCGTATGCCAAGTCGTTGAACAGTCGAGCTGATCGGTGGAGTGGGTGCAACATCCACGCCGCTGCATGCACAGGGAGAACCATCATCCGCGCACGGTCTTTCACCTTCACCGTCACGAACTCCCTTGTCTCGCAATCACTGGGCAACACAACCATTCTCTTCTCCAACATGATCCCCAAAGACCACACCTGCATACCCGTCCTCCCATCTTTGTCCATGGCCTTCATCAGGACATAAACAGGCTCAAGCAAGGTACATGCCGCTGCATAGTTAACCACCAAGCGGGGTCTCGTGAGCTCCTTGCACAATCGAACCCGTGTCGATGGGGTCCAATCCCATGGAGAGTCATCCCACCGTGGGTTGGAAACAGTTGATAGCAACACCCCCTCGCACTCCCGATGTCGCTGCAGCATGAGGAAGTTTGTGCCGAATCTAGTGTCCCCTGGTTGGATCAACTCCAATGGCCTCCCATCTTTGATACCCAACTGTGTCCTGTACTCCCTCCCAGTCCTCCGGAACATCGCCAACGGCTGCCGATGTCTCTTGATGAAAATGGTGATCTCCCTGCCCTGTAGAATCACCTCCCCAATCCATGGCACCGAAGCAATGTCACACATCAGCAAGTTGCACCCATGGAATGCTGCTGATCGCAGGGCCCTCGTGCTCAGCCAATATCTTCCTGGTGGAAATGTTGACCTGTGCTGAGTCGGTGCAGAGGGCGTTCACCCTATGCAGCCCCAACTCCCTTATGACCTCCTCTCACATCCTTGCCAACACTGGGCCGACTTATCCTTCCCCTCCTTGTCCACGCTCCTCACCATGACAGTCCCCGAATTGCCGGCTGCAAGGAAGTTCATGACCAGCCTGTTGCTGGACGTTGTTGTACTGTCTGTCATCGAAGTTAAGCCTGTGACATCTCAGGGCTCACGAATCTTATCCAAATCATGATCCACGGCTTTGTACTCCGCAGGCAGGGCCTTTGTCCTCAAGTACTTGTATCCTGGCAATCGCAACATTTTCCTTGATCCAACCGCCAGGTTCATGATCCTTTCCATGTTTCTATACGAGTCAGATCTCGCAGCATTCAAGGCGATGGCAATCTCAAAGAAGAAAGAGGCGACTGCCTGGTCAAACTCTTTATGCAGCTCATCCACAACGAAATTGTTCAGGACGACTGCTGTCTAGCCTATGGAGGTCGCGGAGGTCAAGCGGCAGCTAGAACGGGACCCCACAGGCGCTCAACAATCTCCGATTGGAGTTCAGGCCCCATGGAAGCCGGAGCGGCCATGTCGGCAACAGATGTCGAGTAAAAACCAACACCACTGCCTTCTCCCGCCGTTGAACTTGTGTCACGCCTGCCATCTCTCCCTATCGACGATGTACGGGGCTCCGCAGATGCACCCGCTTGATCACCCGAAGCAAGATCCTCTGTATCCTCGACGATGTACGGGGCTCCGCAGATGCACCCGCTTGACACCCGAAGCAAGATCCTCTGTATCCTCCACACCCGGCAGACGACCCTGTTCCTTGTAGTACTCAATTTTGCAACCATTGCAGGGGGGATTGGCACCTTCGGGTGATTCCTCCGGATCAAAGCAAGAATCTCCACGGTGGTACGCGGACAGCGGGCAGTAGGCGACGGTTGGGTGTAGTGGTTCACCACTTTGCTAAGTGTGCCAATGAACTCTTTGTTGCACAGCCTGCAGCGCAACCTCCACGAGTCGTGCGATGTGCCATTCGTCACCCTCTGCCCTCGATCCGCCCGTCTCCAAAGCTCCGACTTGCTGAGCGTCCTTTCTCTCTCTTCACCAGTCTCAGGCTCAAATGGTCCTCGATTCCTCGCCATGGTCGTCGCAGTGGAGGTAGGTGGTTGGTAGGAAGAAGAAGAAGAAGGGGTGGGAGGTGTGTGCCTGATGCCGATGATTTTTCGAAAAAAAAAAAAAAGTGGAGGTGGGTGATGGTAGGAGGAAGAAGAAGAAGAAGAAGAAGAAGAAGAAGAAGTGGAAGAAGATGGAGAGAAAATGGAGAAGAAGAAGAAGAAGAAGAAGAAGAAGAAGAAGAAGAAGAACTAAGTGAAGAAGTGGAAGAAGATGGAGAGAAAATGGAGAAGAAGAAGAAGAAGAAGAAGAAGTAAAAGAGGAAGAAGGACAAGAAGAAGAAGAAGTAAAAGATGCTGAAGAAAAAGAAGTAAAAGATGGTGAAGAAAAGAAAGAAGTGGAAGACGATGGAGATAAGAAGAAGAAGAAGAAGAAGAAGGATGGGTGGGAGGTGTGTGCCCACTGCCGACGATTTTCTGCATATAAAAACAAAGTGGAGGTGGGTGATGGTAGGAGGAAGGAGAAAAAGCAGAAGCAGAAGAAGAAGGAGGAGTTAAAGATGGTGAAAAAGATGAAGTGGAAGAAGATGGAGAGAAGATGGGGAAGAAGAAGAAGGAGAAGGAGAAGCGTGTGCCCACTGCCCGACGATTTTCCGGAAAAAAAAACAAAAAGAATAAAGGTGGGTGATGGTAGGAGGAATGAGAAGAAGAAGAAGAAGAAGAAGAAGAAGAAGAAGTGGAAGAAGATGGAGAAGAAGAAGAAGAAGAAGAAGAAGAAGAAAAAGAAGAAATGGTGGGAGGTGTGTGCCCACTGCCCGACGATTTTTCGAATATTAAATTAAAAAAAAGTGGAGGTGGGTGATGGTAGGAGGAGGAAGAAGAAGAAGAGTGCAAGGAAAATGAGCGATAGGGAATTCCAGAAACCAAGCAGCATCATACACATGAAACCAGATAGTCGTGACCTCGAACCAAAAGCRGAATTGCAACTYGAGTTYCACCAAATAAGAGCACAGCAAAAGCTCACAAGTGACAATGTTGGAATAGTTTCATCATCATCAACAAAGAACCAATGTCGATTTCTTATCTCGCGCTCAGCACCCAGACTACGAATGGCAGATCCTATCTGGCCTATCTACAATGCCGCTGGTGACGTCAACAGCTCCCCGAAGTACGAGCAGATCTCGGCCAATGCCGTTCGCCTCAAGCACCAGGTATGTCTCTCGCATCACTCACAACCTCGATCCCCAAACACAGATGCCACGTGCACCCAAGGACCACCATGCGCCCCATCCAGCTCCTCGCAGGGCAGCTCAGCTATGACTGCCTGCTCTTCCTGCTCACCCGTGAGCGCGTGGGCGCTGGCCAGCGATTAGCGCAGCATGCGGCCAGTGCCCGAATACCGAATGCGGGGGCAGGCACTTTCCCAAATGAAAGTGGCCTGCCTGCTGCGTGTGGCCTGGCTGCACTGGGCCCCGGCCCAGAAGCTTCCAGTAGGCCTCGAGAGGCTGAGCCCCAGTCCAAATGAATCAGGCCCAGGGCCTATGGCGGTTACCCGTGTCCAACTGCCTGCAGCCTGTGTTGGGTCCATGTTGCGTATCTCGCCCAGGGCCTGCCTCAGATGCATTTGATAAAAGCAGCCAGGACCTGGGCGCTCTCAACCAACTGGCGCTGCGCAACTGCCTGAATTTCCCGAGTTGCATGGTAGCCCAAAATAGGTGTCTCGTCCTTGAACGGGCCTGCCTTAACTTAGGGCGGCCGACCTTGCTGGAAACAAGGCCCGTTAAGGGCTCGTCGAGGCCGTGAGGCTCGCATTCCCTCCTCCTTACTTTGACAGTCCTTTGAGAAGTTCGATTACTCAATCTGGCGATTTCCTTTCTGCAATGACTGACAGCCTGTGGAGTGGTCTGCATCAGTTCCTCCCGGGTAAACCATCTGTCTTCCTTAGGATCTGTATGATGTCTTAACCGAATGCGATATTGCAGCTTCGGTTTAGGAGGACGTCCCTTGCCTGTCAGTCCTGAAACTGACATTTCTCTATGGTCCACGATGTCGTCGATGTCGACCTCTCCATCCATGGTTGGGGCCAGCATTGAGCGACGAGAAGGAAACTGATCTGTTTCCTTGAAAGGTGCGAGCTTAGAAGCGTGAAAGACAGGGATCCAAATTACATATGACGGCCCATCCGGATTATCCCGACAATATCGAGAACCTTCCAGAGTCCAGAGTACTTTGGCATGAGCTTGCGGGATATCCCGTGCTCCTGTCCCAGTTCTGAGGACTTGACCTAGACTTTGTCCCCTACCTGGAATATAGATGGGTGGCGGTGCTTGTTCTCAGACTCTATCATCGCCGCCTATGCCCTGTGCATCTGTTCTACAGCTTGCTGCATTAGGCGCTGATATCGATAAGCGAATTCTCAGATAGCTCCGCCCTCTCCTTCTAGATGCTCCACGTGAACAATGCGGACTCTTGAGGTTGAGCGCACTCGACTCCTCACATGAGAGGACTCTCAAGACAGAACACATCCTCATGGTAAGAAGTGTCGAAGAGGGTAGATAAGGTTAAGAGCAACGTACCTCAAAATAGCTGCTGCCAACCACAAATATTCTCTCCACATGACCTGATTCCGATTGTGATGACCAATCGCTGCTTTGGCACAACCAGCATTACACCGCCGTTCCACCTCAACATCAATCACACATCAGATAGTTCTCATCACACTGCGAAACACCCAACACCGGTTCGTAGCCTTCCTTGCGATTCCCCTCACCTCTTGGGTAGCCTGCTTGCCTTTGCCCTCTTCACTACACACTCCCTACGGCCGCTCACCCAGCAGACCGCATGCATGTACCGCATAGGCAGAAGACAAGCGCCAGATTAGCGCAGCGTACCACAGCTCCGATACCAAAATGCAAGGAAAATGAGCGATATCGAATTCCAGAAACCAAGCAACATCATACACATGAAACCATATAGTCGTGACCTCGAACGAAAAGCAGAATTGCAACTCGAGTTCCACCAAATAAGAGCACAGCAAAAGCTCACAAGTGACAATGTTGGAATAGTTTCATCATCATCAACAAAGAACCAATGTCGATTTCCTATCTGGCGCTCAGTGCCCAGACTACGAATGGCAGATCCTATCTAGCCTATCTACAATGCCGCTGGTGACGTCAACAGCTCCCGGAAGTACGAGCAGATCTCGGCCCATGCCGGTCGCCTCAAGCACCAGGTATGTCTCTCGTATCACTCACAACCTTGATCCCCCACACACAGATGCCACGTGCACCCAAGGACCACCATGCGCCCCATCCAGCTCCGCGCAGGTCAGCTCAGCTATGACTGCCTGCTCTTCCTGCTCGCCCGTGAGCACGTGGGCGCTGGCCAGCAATTAGCGCAGCATGCAGCCAGTGCCCGACTACCGAATGAGGGGGCAGGCACTTTCCTAAATGGAAGTGGCCTCCCTGCTGCGTGCGGCCTGGCTGCACTGGGCCCCGGCCCAGAAGCTTCCAGTAGGCCCCGAGAGGCTGAGCCCCAGTCCAAACGAATCAGGCGCAGGGCCTATGGCGGTTACCCGAGTCCAACTGCCCGCAGCCTGTGTTGGGTCCATGTTGCGTATATTGCCCAGGGCCTGCCTCAGATGCATTTGATAAAAGCAGCCAGGACCTGGGCGCTCTCAACCAACTGGCGCTGCGCAACTGCATGAATTTCTCCAGTTGCGTGGTAGCCCAAAATAGGCCT